CCCCAAAACCCCAAAACCCCAAAACCCCACTTAAAAAAGTTTATATTGAAATTAAGTTATTGGCTTAGTATTTTGGCTAACTCATCCATATCAATGTCTAGCTCTTCTTCAAAATGCTTCTCTACTTTACTTGCAGATTTAGTCTTCTTCTTCTCATCTGACATGTCAGATAGAGGGATTTCTTTCTCATCAGTTATTTTAGTTCATCTTTCTTCGGGTTCTTGGGTTTTCATATTTTTGTACTCAGACTGCCGAGATTTACTGATGTATTTGTGACTTGTCTGAGAACTGGAGGGGGCGTTGTCGTGGTCATCATCTACCCTGCGTCTTTTAGTTATATGAGATTTAGTATTATCTTCATCATCAGGAGCATTGAATAGGTTGTACTCTTGAACACTTTTGCCTGCTAGGTTAACAAGCTTATTTTTCTTTTGTGATCTAGTCTTCATTCTTGATGCTTCACTTTGCACAAGCTCCTCTTGGTTCTTTTTCAGTGAGGTTTCTGTATTGCTGGGATTCTGGCTGTCGTTTGTATTTTTAACTGAATTTCTCTTTCTCTTCCGTGCCATCCTTCTCTTTGCTTGATCAATAACTGTATTTTCATATACTATAAAATTATCTGGATCCACTATTTCTTTAGAAGTATCGTTAGAAATCTCACGGGAAGTTTCTTCTTCTGGTTCAACTCTGTCATCTCATGGAGTGTAGAGTACCTTTTCAATACCTCCTATTGGAGTGATAGTTGTCTCATCTACAATATGCTCCTTCTTGATTTTGCCTTCTTTATACCGCCTCAAATGTCTCTTACAGAAAATGAGATACTTCAATTTTTCCGATTCTTGACCTTGATTAGCATCTTTTTGATCCTTTATCATTTTTGACCAGCTCACAATAACTCCTGAGCTGATAGCTCATCTAACATGAAAGTTCCTTGATCAAAACTTTTGTTGACACTATGGGTATTATGGGACGAATTACCTGAAGAGCAGCGCCTCTTGACTTTCAATAACTGCATTTAAGCAGCCAACGCTCGTTTGATACATTACCAATAATTTCTGTCTTGGTTTCAAAGTCTTTATAACTTATTTCAGGAACCCATAGCACGCATGTTACATGGGCCCATTTCTCCTGTGATTTTACAATTCAGCCTATTTTTAACTAAAAATCCTTACCTTTTAGGTCTGATCAGAGGTATCATTTTATATCATCGGGGTCCATTTTATTATCTTCATGTAAATATTTTCATCTGTTGCAATACCAGGCATCCTTAGGGATGCTATCCTTAAGATCTTTTCCGTATCATTTTTGATGTACGGCTACATTACAGAGCTCTCAAATGACTAGGGTATCGCTAGCTTCAGAGAAATTATCCATTCATATATCGCACCTCATGAATTCTTCATTGTTATTCTCGTGCTGAACAATTTTGTCATACTTGGTTTTATCAAAGTCATATCATTGCTCATCAGCCTCGTTATAGATCTGGTAATCTTCTGGGTCTTCTTGATCCTTAGAGATAGTCATCCCGCTTATGCAAGAGTCTCCTCGAGACCTAATGGAATTATTAAAAGCATTCTCAAGATCTAGAGGGTTTACACCGCTTTGAGGTAGTTTAGGTTTTGGCGGTTCTTCCTTCTGCTTTTTCTTACATTCTTGATCTGAATCACTTAGTACTGATATAATATCCTGAGTGACTTGTTTTATCAATTCAATGTCAGAATTTGTCCTCTGCTTCTTCTTTCGAGTAGGCTTATCTTCATCTCCACATGAGTCTAAGCAGTATTTTTCACTACCATTATCACTAGAATCATCTTTTTGATTTTTTTGATTATTGTTATCATTCTTATGATTGGAATCTTTGTTATTAGCTTCTTTCTTTTGCTGGATAACTTCTTCAACAATTTCTTCCCTCCCATAAATCTTCATTTCCTTTGGCTTTATTTCCATGACTTGGGGAGCAGATTGAATATTAAACTGACCCAGAGCCTCAAGAGCTAGCTTTTTCCTATCGACTCTTTGCTTTATGGTCAGAGCTGAAAGTCTTTTTCTGAATCTCTTAGATTTCATATAGTTTTCCTTTCGAGTTTCAAATTTTTTCTGCTTCCTATCTTCAGTCTTTTTCTTCATCTTCTTTTCATCCAAAATTTTGAGTGGGATTTCATCATTATCATACTCAGTTTGTTCCTTGTCATAGCTCTTTTGACAATCAAGATATGAAGCAGCTTCTTTCTGTTGCATTATACTATCAGGATTCTCCAGACTGGACTTTATTACCTCAATATCTGCATTAGATTTGGGTATCTCTTGAATATCATCTTCATGACTTCCATGGTAGCTATCTGAGAGAACTATAACAGATTTCTGAGCAGACTTGATGATCTTCAGTCGTTTCGCGTCCCTTCTCTTTTTAGCATCTCTTTTGGTCTCTATTAAGATTTCTTCGATACTTTCTGAATCACCACCAATCTTTCCTTGGATGTTAAGCTTCTTGACTCTTTCTTTAACTTCTGCTCTTATTTTATTTTTCTCTTCTTCAAGTGCTTTTAGGTTCTCATTTGTATGGAGTTCTTGCTCAGAGCCATCCACTTCTTCTTTCTTAATGCTATTTTCGTGAAGACTATTGCTGAGATCATTCGCGTCTTCGATTTCGTGTTTAATATGAGCAGCTCCAATATCCATTGGCTGTTCTTTCTTAAATACTATCTTGGTTTTAGGCTTTCCCATTTCTGAAGGATCAAAGTCAAGATCTATCATGCTCTTAATATCAACAGCTTTATCTTCCTTAGGGCCACTATTGAGATTGGTTTTCATCCAGCCGTTAGCACACATTTTGGTATCATGAAGCTTGCCTACAGATTCCTCTTGGAAATGCCTCTGCTTACGTTTCTTCTCTTTGATATATTTGATATACCTTCGGTCCATTTCTTCTTGAAGTTGCTTCTGGTTTTTGTTGATCTCTTCCTGAAATTTATCATTTCTTTTTTGTTCTCTTCTACGTTTATTTGTTATCTTCCTTAATCAGAGTTGTTCTTTTGATTTCTTCCATTTCTTCATGCTCAGAATCGAATTCTTTCCGTTGTCGTTGGAGAGACAGTTTCTCACTCAAGGGCATCTTGTTCCATCCAGGAATGTACCTCGGACCAATCTGGCGAAGACGCGAAGAGCATGATTTCACTCCTGATAGGTTGTTCTGGTAATACTTATTATGAAGGTTTGTACCATCTCTATGTATTCCATACAACCTACCTCCTTTGGCGTCTGTGAGTTTCTCTTGAAGGTTCTTCTTGTCTTGCAGAATATCTCGTGGTTTCTTGTTTTTATCTACATCAGGGAAAATCTTGTCATAAGCCTTCTCACTTAGAGTTGGCTTTGGCAACAAGGGGTCTTTAAATTGTACAAATTTGCAGATCTCTGACGGATTCTCTAAGTCAATGATATTCTTTGACTTGCTACCATATTTTGTTTTACAAGAGTTTTTCCCACTCGAGCTATATGAGTACTCAGTCGAAGGGTGACTCTTCTGATTTGGATCAAACATTGGCCCATATATCTTTGGCTTCGTATTAGGAGCACCAGTAAAGGCCCCTCTACTTGAAAGTATTGAAGGTTCTCTCATATTTCTTGGTACATACTGTTTTTCTTCTTCTTGATTATTATTTCCATCTAAAATTCTTGAGATAAAGTTCATATTGAAGCTACCAGCAGCTCCTCCTGATGTGAGATTATCTAATCTATTTTTCCTATCCTGGTTAATAAGCTGAGATATATTCATTAGGATGGTTGAATTTACTATTCTTGGTCTTATGAAGAATAAACGCTATATCTACAACTGTACAAAAGTACACTTTCAATTTGGATATGGTATTTCGGGGTTTTGGGGTTTTGGGGTTTTGGGGTTTTGGGGTTTTGGGG